TCCTCGCCCAATTGGGGTTTAATTGGGGCTTGAGGGATTTTTGGGATTTTAGGGATTTTAGGGATTTTTGGGATTTTAGGGATTTTAGGGATTTTTGGGATTTTTTAACATGTATATAAAGAGAGGAATGTACTAGAGGAAAAGCAACAATAAAATACCATTCTTTTACTATAAAACTCAGACTATTATCTAACATTTTCACTTACCACGTGCCACATCTCCATGCCTCTTTCGACATTACACAATCGGCGATCGCGACGTAGTGACAGACTCGCCGTTATAACCCCAAACAATATAAAAAATTACAAAAATTACAAAAATTACAAAAATCTCTCAAATTTGAAAAAATTTAAAAATTATAATAAGTATATAAAACTCATGACAATATATTATAATTATTTTTAAAAAATCAACCCATCAAGAAAAATCTAATATATCAAAGAAATATTCTTATTAAAAAAGACTCAGTCAGAATTAATAATATTAAATAAACACTAATTCAAATTAAAAATAGACACAAAATTGTGGATAAATTTACAAACTTTTCTTCAAACACAACAGTCTGGCACTTTAAAAGCATCATTACACAATGCAAGAAACTCATGTGTTATATTTTCAAAATTATACAAATCAGTTATTGTATTAGCTTTGAAATTCATTAGGACCTATTTGCAACAGTCTAAAAAACCTATATTCTAGGAGAGACAGAACTTAAATTCATGCCAATTTCAAACAAACTGCACAATATGTGATGCACTGACACATTTTATCAAATATCATTAAACTCTATTATTACAGTCACTCTCTAATCAGAAAACTTTATTAAAATTAGTATTTTATGTTACAAATACTGAAATAAATATAAATGTTCTTTTAAAACTAATACTGTATTATGTATTCTTAGTTTTATTTTACACCTTTTTAAATACATGTATATATTTATAAGATATACTGTTTACGCATATATTATTATGACCCTTGTTATATTTTTCTTTTACGTGTGCTGTTTTTAGCCTCACTTTTTATACGTTTTTTCTTTGACAATACAGATCAAAAAATTTTCTTGATTTTTTAAAATAATTTATTTCTTGTTGTTTTGTAAATAAATTCTTTTTGATTATGTAGTATTTATTGTACCAATACAAATTGATTACAATAGATACGTAAATAAAAAAATATTATTAAAGAATCATTTTATATTCTAATGCATAACTAACTACCGTAAAAATATTTTTGGTCAATTCTCATTTAAAAACTAAACTCGTACTATTTAAATATTGATTTAATAATGTTTGAAATTGACCAGGGGACATTCTCTATTTTCTTACCCATTTTATTCCGTAACCCAAATCCAGATTAGTCAAGGTGGTATTCTTGTAGTATATTTCCTTGGAAAAGAATTTTGCTGTCAAACATAAGAATTTATTGTTATATAAGTTCAAACTAGTCAAGGTGTTGTTGTTGCACAATGATTCGGAAAATGTTTTTACTGTCGAATCTTTTACTTTATTGTTATATAAATTCAAATTAGTCAGAGTGCTATTCTTGTATAGTGCTTCTGCCAGTGCTTTTCCTGCCGAATCTCCTATTTCATTAGAACCCAAATCCAAATCAGTTAAGGTGTTATTCTTGCATAGTGCCTCGGCAAATGCTTTTCCTGCCGATTCTCCCACTTTATTATTGTACAAGTTTAGGCTTGTCAGGGTGTTGTTCTTGTATAATGCTTCAGCCAATGCTTTTCCAGCAAACTCGTCTATCTTATTATAACTTAAATCCAAATTAATAAGGGTGATGTTCTTGCCTAATGCCTCGGCAAATGATTTTTCTGCTGATTCTCCTATCATATTCCCACTTATATCTAAATTTTTCAGAGCGGTGTTATTGCATAGTGTCTTGGCTAGTTCTTTTCCTGCAGATTCTCCTATTTTATTATTATATAAGTTCAGACTAATCAGTGTGGTGTTCTTACATAATGCCTTAGCTAGTGCTTTTCCTGTCGACTCCCCTAAATTGTTACCCCGTAGATCCAAATTAGTCAAGGTAGCATTCCTACTTAAGCCTATGATCAACCCTTTGGCTACATTATAACATAGACCTTCATTGCCCATGTTTAAATCGGCTATGGCAACGTTTCCGCACAAATAATCGGCCAAAACCTCACCATCACGCCTTAACTCATCCTTGCTTAGGTTAGATAAGCATGATGCCGGCTTATATGCTAATGTAAATATAATCAATATTGAATATAATTGATGATTAAGTAATGAAACTAACGTGAATGTAAAAATACATGTATAGTACTGTACGTACCATTATATTGTATGTTTGTTTCGTTAGTAAACTTTCTGCGTTTTATTTGGCCTATTATGTAACATCATATTATTTTAATTTTTAACGGTAAACATCTAATTGGTAAATTTAAAGTCACAGTAACTTACTGGTTCTTTTATTTGGCAAGAAATCCATTGTGTGCTTTGATGACGTCGATAGATTGTTACTATTACTATATTAAAACAATCATGGCTTTATAAATTCAGAATGGGATAGCGTATTGAACTATCATCAATCTTTAACTCTTGATAAATGATTTTTCAAATGTAAACGTTTACTTACATGTCTTCCATAACATCAAGGGAACATATAGTATTGGAATCTATGAAAATAATTTCATAAAGGATATTGTGAGTTAATGGTAGTTAACTTTATTTATAAAAAGATTAATAATTACCTAACGAAGGTTCTGCGCTTGAAAATAAATTCAAGGTATAACTTGTAGTTTCTATGATAGGATCTAATAACTGACTAAAAGTTTTACGCGGAGAAAGTGGTTCCTTTGCAAATTTCATGGATATTATCTCTTGTAGTTTTTTTTCAGCATCATAAAACGCCTCACTAAATTCCCATTCTAAAGAGTTTACTACCTTATATATCTCATTAATTGAAGGCCTCTGTGAAGGGTCTTTATGCCAGCACTTTTCCATCAATCTAGCCCATAATTCGGGTGTATCTTTCGTAATTTCAGGACGTAATCCTTTGCATATATCCAACGCAAGATTGGCATCATACGTTCGATCACAAAAAGGACGATTCCCTGTCGTCAGCTCCCACATAATCATGCCTAAGCTGTAGATATCCGAACTAAATGAAAATTGTTTTTTACTAAATATTTCAGGTGCCATATAGGGCATAATTCCGTATACACATGATCCTGGATCCTCATTCGCGGGTCGACTAAATCCCAAATCGGCGATTAACGAATTGTTATTCTCGTCTATTAATATGTTTCCACTGTGTATGTCACGATGTATTATACTATTTTGATGAATCCATTTGATTCCAATAACGAGGCTTTTTAGAAAATTAACTTTTGATCTTTTAATTTCCCCCCAGTCTGTCCATTTGATATCATTAAAATTCTTGGTTAGATATTCATGTAAACTTCCATTTTTCATGTAAGACATGATAAATACGTAATTCTTTGTTATTTGTTCTTGTGATACTCCATAACATTGAATAAGACAACGCTTATAGGAGTTTGGTTGGGTTTTAGTAATATTGTGTAACTACAGGATACAGGATATTATATTTAAATAATCTATCACAGTAGTTACAAATTGAGAAAGCAAAAATTGTTACTTTACCTCCTTTATAAACTCCGAGTTTATATTTTGAGAATCATTGAGGATTTTTAGTACAACTGTTTTGTGACCTGTCCGATTAAAATATCCTCCATTATAACTCTTAACCTTTCCATGTTTCCATGAAGCGATGAATATCTTGCTGAATCCACCCTCTGCAATTTTCTGGACTTTTGTAAAATCTCCAAATGGGATCCATTCTAACCTGAATTGGATATTATTTTTATGGGTTGCTTTAATTAAATTGTTGATATGTATATTTCCGCTATTGACCGACTGAAATTGCGCTGAATAACAGCCGCTACACAAATCGTTGTTCTCATATTTAAGGATCTTTTTTTTGCTACACCCAGGGCATTTATCATGTTTTTTCTTAATTGATTTAACAGGTAGAGATTTTGCAGAAAGACAATCGGTACACGAGTTTTTCCCATACTCTAGGACCTTTTTTTTGTTGCATCTAGGGCATTTATTGAATTTATTCCGGAAGTTCATGATTCTTTATCGAATCTTAAGAAACGTTTGGGAAACTTATTAAAAAAAAAGCAACCAACCTTTCGTGATTTTATATATTCGCAGTTAATTATGAAAAGTCTGTTTCGGAATAAAAAATCCGTACCATTTCAAATTAATATCAAATTTACCAAATCAACAATCTTTCTTCTTCCTTCACTGAAATCAATCGATACTATATTATAGCAAGTCTCTGTGCTTGATATAATACACAAGGAAAATACAATTCGTCATCTTGCATCATACTACCGCAATTATGGCCTGATCATCGAACCTATCACACGAGAAAATGTTATAGCAGGTACAAATTCGCTAGCTTTTAAGAGAAATTATTTAACCACGTGATTATATAATCACACAGCCTTATTAATTATGTAGTGTTGGGGGTTATAACGGCGAGTCTGTCGCTACGTCGCGATCGCCGATCGTGTAACGTCGAAAGAGGCGTGGAG